TATATTCATGCATGCATATGTGTAGGAATTTGTGCATGCACATGTGTATGGATGCGCAAGTGTATGCATGCGTTTATGAATGTGTGTATGCATATATATGCAGATGTGCATGCATGCATATGTGTGTCCATGCATGGATATGTGTGCGCAAGCATGCATGTGTGCATGCATATGTGTGTGCATGCATGCATTATGTGTGTGTGTGTGCATGCATGCATTGATGTGTGTGTGCATGCATGCATTGATGTGTGTGTGTGCATGCATGCATTGGTGTGTGTGTGCATGCATGCATTGGTGTGTGTGTGCATGCATGCATTGGTGTGTGTGTGTGCATGCATGCATTGGTGTGTGTGTGTGTGTGCATGCATGCATTGGCGGGTGTGTGCATGCATGCATTGATGTGTGTGTGCATGCATGCATTGATGTGTGTGTGCATGCATGCATTGATATGTGTGTGTATGTATGTATGCATTGGTGTGTGTGTGCATGCATGCATTGGCGTGTGTGTGTGCATGCATGCATTGGTGTGTGTGTGTGTGTGCATGCATGCATTGGTGTGTGTGTGCATGCATGCATTGGCGGGTGTGTGCATGCATGCATCGATGTGTGTGTGCATGCATTGATATGTGTGTGTATGTATGTATGAGTGCGTGTATGTGTGTGCATGCATGTATATAGACAATTGCTTAAGTTTGTCAGATTGTATCTTTCATTTTCATATATTTCATCAAGCTTTTCATTTTTGCCTATAAGCCACACAATGGATTGTAACTTGTGAAGTTTATATATTGTCATGTTAATGTTAATAAATGTTTCTGCCCAATTGTTTCATCTTCTCATTATGTAACATAAACACAGTAAAAGATAATTTACGATTTAACACACAGCCAAATATACAATGACATATTCCATTTTCATAACTGTTTAACGCCACAATCAGGCCCCCGATTGATATGTTGTATACATTATAATCATTGCAAACTACACCATTCTAAACTGAATGATCAAGCTCCAACAACAAATAATAAACTTGACTTTCCACTCAATAACTGCACAATGTGGCATCTAGATAGATTATGTGAAAAAATATAACGTCATTATTGAACATAAAGATGCACAGAAATGTGCATCTTTTTATTTATTTTTTTCATCTCCTTCAGGAGTCCTAATCAATCAAGAATGTAAACCATTAGTAAATCATGTTGAGTTGAACCCTAATCCCTACCCAATTAATGATTAATAAATATTTTAATCTTCAAGGCTTAACCACACCCTAACACCAATGCATAACTAACCCTAATGCCATCCATCCATCTATTTTACACAGAGCACCAGCCCCTCACTGATCCTCCTGCAGGTGCCAAGTTCACAGGAGGTCAAAACCTAATCGTTAACGTCAAAACCTTATGCCAACATTTTTCTTGTAAAGTCAATTTTTCATGAGAATAAAGTCAAAGTAGCGTGATTATGAGATGAATTTGGAAAGATTATGATAATAAAGTCAAACTTATGGGATTATCCATCCATCCATTTTCTTCCGTTGCCGGGTCGCGGGGGCAGCAGTCTAAGCAGAGACGCCCAGACTTCCCTATCCACACACACCTCCTCCAGTTCGTCCGGGGGGACCCCAAGGCGTTCCCAGGCCAGCTGAGAGACATAGTCCCTTCAGCGTGTCCTGGGTCTTCCCCGGGGCCTCCTCCCGGTGGGACGTGCCCGGAACACCTCCCCAGGGAGGCGTTAGGAACAGATGCCCGAGCCACCTCAACTGGTTCCTCTCTACGTTGAGAAGCAGCGGCTCTACTCCGAGCTCCTCCCGTGTGACTGAGCTCCTCACCCTATCTTTAAGGGAGCAGCCACTCTGCGGAGGAAGCTCATTTCGACCGCTTGTATCCGCAATCTCGTTCCAGAGAAACACCAGAGAAGTGGAGCGTCCAACCCCTCTCAAGGAGTTGGGTTCCAGAGCCCAAGCTGTGTGTGGAGGTGAGGCCGACTATCTCTAGTCGGTATCGCTCAACCTCCCCCACGAGCTCGGGCTCCTTCCCCCCCAGTGAGGTGAGGTTCCACGTCCCAAGAGCCAGATGTTGTGTGTGTGGACTGGGTCGCCGAGGTCTCCGCCTTCAACCGCTGCCCAGTCCTCTCTGCACCACGCCACCACGGACCCCTCTGCAGGTGGTGGGCCCACAGGAGGGACTGCCCACGTCATCCCTTCGGGCTGAGCCCGGCCGGACCCCGTGGGCTAAGGCCCGGCCACCAGGCGCTCGCATACGAGCCCCACCCCCAGGCCTGGCTCCAGGGTGGGGCCCCGGCAGCGGCATACCGGGCGACGTCACTGTTGTCCTTATTGTGCTGTCCATGGTTGGCTTCTGACTGCTCTTCGTCTGACTCGTCACCCGAGACCTGTCTGCCATGGGAGACCCTACCAGGGGCATGAAGCCCCAGACAGCATAGCTCCCAGGATCATCCGAGTACTCAAACTCTCCCACCACGTTAAGGTGGCAGTCCAAGGGGGTCTGCCACTCCTTATGGGATTAATCTCATAATATTTGGAGTTACCTGTATATTTCTGGGTTTATTATACCCACCAACCATATTTCAATGTAATAGAATATAACAATTGTGTATTTCAAAATATAAACCCTAATCTCAATCTGGATTTATCAAATGATATTGTAGTTCATTTGTTTTGTGTATTTTTACACACACACACACACACACATGCAGAGTGTCTTGCAGAAGAACACATCGACAGTGGAAATGATTGGGAGCTGATAACATAGAACTTTTTTTAATAATGTTCACTCAATAATAATAGAAAGAACACACCAACCGGGAAGAACAAAAAAAGAAGATTAATTATATTTGTTGAGACTGGACAAAGCTGGACTTTGGCTCCCAGGTGTTCTTCCATTCAACACCACTGTGGAACAAAACAAAAATGAGACACTTCATACAGGTTTTAATAACTTAATAACTAATTTACAAAAGAGTATGGTAACAAAATTCCATTCTTATACCAAATTCCGCAAGGCTGCCATCGGACAAACACCTCCTGACGACCCTTTTAAATGACATTCAGAGATAATTAAGACAAATATTTAAAATAAACTTCTCACTATAACAAACATCAATGAATACAAACTACACTGAGTAGTATGTTTGTGACATCACCAAAAGGAACGTTAGTACTGAGGTTCTTTTAATGACAGAATGGTCTGCTTGACTAGTTTTAAATCTTCCACAGTAGCATCACCAGCTGCTTAGGGACTTACTAACACTAGTGTTTATCTAAGAAGACAGTATGAAGATCTTTCAAAAAAGCAAACTTAGAACATACATCCTAAATTAAAGCTGCACTAACTGACTTTATTTTTGTATTAATTACTAAAATGCTATCCATGTCCGTGTAGGGCATTGGGATATATGTCCTTTTGAAGAAAAAGTAGCGCAGATTTGTGCTGGCGTGACATTATATTTTAGATTGAGTTTTGATGAAACAAGGAAGAGAATGTGTTTCGGGTCGCAGATTGTGACCAATCACAGCGGACCACTGGTCCCCACTTTCGTGAGAAATCTACAGGTCCGTTAGCACACACGGCTGAGTTAGCACAACAAGCTGCGGAGCTAACCTGAAGCTTCCTCGTCTTCGTCACCGGTTACTGCTTACACAGCAAGACAGCCATCCAAAAGAAAGTCTCGTTCCTCCGCTCTTCCCGGTTCTATCGTTCTATGGTCACGCCATCCACGTGCAAATCCATATCCATGGTTTATCCATATTGAGAGCATGGATGTATTATATTAACTGGATAGGGTATTACTAGCTTGTAGCTGAATAACTCACGTGCTCAGGGGATTCTCGCGGTACTGCAGACTGAACCAGACTGAACCAGACTGAACCAGACTGAACCAGACTAAATTCACGTGGGCTACCCAGACATTTTCCCCATAGAACTCAATGCATATTAAAACAGCTCAACCTCAGCTGACAGAGAACCTGACAGAGAACCTGACAGAGAACCTGCAGCTTTAATAAAGATAGTATTTTGTGGGGATGTTAGTGTCCCTTGTCGTCCTGAACTTTTTTTCTTCTTAAATCCTTCGGTTTTGTTTAAATCCACACTTTAGTGCCACAAACTCTGCTCCTCTGGCTCTCGCTCTAACTCCCGCTCTGATGAACTGCTCTGATTGGTCAGAGCGCGGCCGAGCCCCTCTGTGCACGTGCGTGAGACCCGGTGTGAGACCCACACACGCGTGTTTGGCGCAAAGCATTATGGGAGATCATCCACTGCACAGAACCGGGAGGACCAGACGATGCCCAAATACAGGCGAGTTTCCCATAGATCTTTGCGAGTTCCAGGCGACTTCCGCTAATCTTTCAGCCCCCATGCCGTCACAAAGCGCCACTGAGCACAACCATTCATTTGAATAGGGCGCCATCTTGGATCGCCGGGGCTTGATTGAGAGACACTAGCTCCGTCCCAACAGTGGGTGTGTGTGGGGGGCGATAGCTTCGTGGGTGCGGGGAGGGGAGCAGAAAGAGAGAGGCCAGCGAGTCCGCGGCTTCAAAATCCCAAAGTCAGTTAGTGCAGCTTTAATGAAGCACTTTCACCTACAGTAAGAATTCAAAGTTTTCAATTCACTTTATACACAAAATATTTCGCAGACACTGTTGAAGGAAAAGTGGGTGAAGTGTCTTGCCCAAGGACAGTGTGCACTAGTAGGAGTTGGGTTTATAAGACCAGCTCTATCTTCTCTACTGTCACCTAATGTTTTAATATTGACTACAAACCTCCCTCACTCTTTCCCTCATCATTTTCTTGACTGGGTAGAAATCAAGATTATGATGCTGGCATTCTGAAATGTATTAAGAAAAGACATTATGTTCATGTCTTTCACATGTGTTGGATATTAGTGATAGCAGTTATTTCAATTCTATTACGACAGTAGTTGGAGTCGTACCCTTATTTTTGTTGGCCCTCTTCAATGCAGTTTTTGGGGGAGGTATGACAACAGAGAGGTTAGACAAAAGAGAAGACAAGGAACAACTAGAGAGTGTAGAGCAGGTTACAGGGGTGAGGGAGGTGAGGTCAGAGGAAGGAGGAGCAGAGAGTGTAGAGCAGGTTACAGGGGTGAGGGAGGTGAGGTCAGAGGAAGGAGGAGCAGAGAGTGTAGAGCAGGTTACAGGGGTGAGGGAGGTGAGGTCAGAGGAAGGAGGAGCAGAGAGTGTAGAGCAGGTTACAGAGGTGAGGGAGGTGAGGTCAGAGGAAGGAGGAGCAGAGAGTGTAGAGCAGGTTACAGAGGTGAGGGAGGTGAGGTCAGAGGAAGGAGGAGAAGACAGTGTAGAGCAGGTTACAGGGGTGAGGGAGGTGAGGTCAGAGGAAGGAGGAGAAGACAGTGTAGAGCAGGTTACAGAGGAATGGAGAGCAGAGGCAGTAGAAGGGCCGAGAGGAATGAGAGCAGTGGGAACAGAAGGAGGTTGGAGGGTTGACCCAGCAGGAGTAGTGCCAGCTTCCGACAGCATTCGAACTAAGAAGAGTAATAAAATGTAGTTACATGCATTGAAAGAAACCTTGAACTTGGCAAAAATAAATGTTAAGTCCCTTACCATTCAATGTGTATTGTGGCTAGAGCTTCTACTTCCTGCTGGCAAGCTGGGTCCACTGGGCACAAACATTCAGCCACAAATGTTTGAGCGACTCTCTTCCCAAGCAGAAGCAGGGGATACCGCTCCAGGACACTCCATTTGTGCAGCTGAAACCACACAACATGTTAAATGTATAGAAGCATAACCATTATATGTTGTAGTCCCAACCAGCCTAAGAGTGAACCAATTGTTAAAGTGCTTTGAAGAAATTCATTCAAACATAACTCTGAAATAATCAGTTATGCATGCCCAGAAGTTATTTATATTCAATAATGCAATAAAAAAGTACTCACAAGCAAATTTGTTGCATCATAAAGCTTGTTGACGCTTTTGTTTTTTTGTTGGGTGTCTTTCCATTTACCATCAATTTTACTTTTGGCATCTTCTAATTTAGTTTTATACGGCTGCTTACAGCCGCAGACCCCGCAGGTTTTTGCTGCCACCCCAATGTCTCTCTGGAGGCAACACATTTTTTATGAATTGCCATCTAAAGAAAAAGAACACAGACGTGTTAATAAGTTCTAAACATGCTGTGGCATATTAAATAAATAAGTAAAATATTATAAATTGTTCACTTTTCATATGATCTATTTATTCATTTTCACCAAAGCTGTCAGTATTTTAGGAAATGCAAACCTACCACATGACAACCTCTGTTCTGTGTAGTCAAAGTCAATTTTAACATAAATATGGTGGAAGATTTAAGTTTTGTGAAACTTTAACTTTAAGATAATATGGTGGAACATTCTTGGAAAAATGTATAAATTATTTGAATAATTTCATAAACCCTGCTATTAACGTTAACTTTTAACCATATACTATTTTTAGCATGCATCTGTAAAAACCGCTAAAAACTTACCTTAGTGGTCTTCGCGGGAGTGCGCTGCATTTGCGTGGTGACGTTTTTCCGGTAACGTTTCCAAAGTACAAACGTAAATATTGATCGATTTGCACGTTGGAAAAACGACCTAGGTAATCGTTTCCATAAACATTGCATTTGCAATGTTTTAGTTTATTGAATTTAATAGAATTAATATCACAGTGTAATTTACTTATATAGAAACGTTTTACACGTTTTGATACTCACTCAAAGTAAAAAAATGGTCTGTTCTGGATTCTGTAGAGTTCGGTACAATGGGTCGTTTTGCATCGGTGCCAAAACGACCCATTGTACCGTTAGCGCCGTCTTGTGGTAAAAGGACGAAATTGCAATTTTACAGGATGTTCAAGACTGCAGGATTTTTTTTATACTTTACATAAATTGTATTCAAAATATAATTTGTTAACCATAATTACACCACTTATCTTCAATTAGTCCTCGGAATCAACTAAAAAACTACTGTGTATGTCAGAACTATTGTTTTAATCTTGTGCAATACAATAATATACAAGCATTGGCTCAGAATAACAGATTTGATGAAAATACAAAGATTCAAAAGGCATTTGTCAAATCAAAATAGTCTCTTCACTGGAGCGAATGGATGGCCATCTTCAGTTGACCGGAATGTTCCTGAGAAACACACAGTCTCCAACGGCACAAGGACCTGAGTCATGATGCGTGGACAGAGTCTATAAAGACCCGACAGCTGCCTCTGATCCATAAAACTAACCATTGATTGTAATCCCATGAAAAAATACTAATGTTTCACATTCAAACTTTATTTATCCCACATACAATAAACATACAAATACTGTAACACTAAATGCAATAATGTAAAACAATGTTTTCTAAAACATTTCTTTCTTTGTTTTAAGTGTCTGTTTTGCTGTTAGTCTGTTACCAACAGGGACAGAATTGTCATTTTTTCAAAGTCAGCCAATTTCAAATGTGGCACAGGTTCCAGTGCATACATCTTTTTCTCAGTATTTTGCAGTGTATATCCTGTATGCAAAGGCCTTAAGAAGTTTTCCTCGGAGCAGGTGATGAGGTGAACATCATTGTTGATGAGGACCAAAGGTCCGATTACAGTTTGTAGCAAAAACAAATGATTTGCAATACAGCAGGTGAATCAGACGGATACGTCCAGGCTAAAACGTGTCTTTCTTCACCCTATGAAAGAAATACATGCAAGTTTGGTTAATATACAAATACATTATAGGATTTGTGGCAAACAAAAAATAAAAGGCACATGTTTTGTTTAATATCAAGTTGTTGAGATAAATAGTGCATGAGTAATTCAGGTGACAACAATGGTGGAAATCTCGAATGCAAACATATTATTCCAATAATAGAATAAAAGCACTGACAAGCTATGAAATGATGAGGTGGGGTTGGGCGTGACTGTCAGAGCAGGGGCTGTGTAAAGCTGGGGGTCTGAAGCATAGTGTGGAAACCACCTACAGGGCAATCCCTCCTCCCTCACCACAAACATTAACATTAACATGGCACAAAGTTCTACACAAAATGGACTATTGAGTGTGGGGAAGGTTCAGATGTGCTTCATCTCACAGTCACCATCATAGAGTATGTGTCTCACAGAGTCACCATCATAGAGTATGTGTCTCACAGAGTCATCATCATAGAGTATGTGTCTCACAGAGTCACCATCATAGAGTATGTGTCTCACAGAGTCATCATCATAGAGTATGTGTCTCACAGAGTCATCATCATAGAGTATGTGTTACACTAGAGAGCAGTTCCACTGAACAACACACATGTCATTTTGTCACTAGACATTTACTAATGTCTAGACATTTACTAATGTCTAGACCAGTGTCTCCCAAAGTGGGGTCCGCGGCCCCCTGGTGGGCCGCGTGGGTACTGCAGGGGGGCCGCGGGAGGTCATAAAAAAAAATAAAAAAAATATATAATTATTTAATGTTTCATTTATAATGTTTTGTTTGTAATATTAAAATATTTGTGTTCATTATTTGACTTGAATAATCCACTGTAATCATTTTTGTATTACAATGTTTGTAGCAGAGGCTATTTCCCCAAAATAAAATAACCAGAAGAGCCTATTCTTAATGTTGTCTTCTTGGTTATTATTTTGGGGGGGCCACACAGACCCGTCAGATTTTTAAGGGGGCCTCGGTGTTACTGAGTTTGGGAATGGCTGGTCTAGACATTTACTAATGTCTAGTGCTGCAATAAGATCAAATATGGTTTTATGGTAAGAGGAAAGTGTCATTGTGAGTTTGTAGAAGCTGACATATGCAGTATAATGTAAATACTTCCTAATCTTACAAAAACATGTTTTATAGTTCTGCAGCCTGGGTTTATTATTGTTGGTCAATGTATTAATTTATATTTTAGAAAGAGCAAAATAACCAAATCCATTTGAAGTTTTTGTCTTTTTATTTAATAAGATAATATGATATATTTTATTTGTGATTTATGTGTTGTTCCTTAGCTCTGAAGTGAGTTTCAATAGCAGCATTTGGCAAAGTCTGGAAGAAAGTGAGCGTAGAGCCACTTGAACACCAAGGAAAGACAAGGCACCGTGACTGAAAGCTTTGAGTTATGATGAGTGAACATCTGAAGGGGCCGGCACTGTGGCTACGGGGGAAGCCTGTAGGAGAAGGTGCCGTTTCATTTTGGAGAGCATGAGAGTTGGAACCTCCACAAAACTTTACAAAAATGTTGGAGTAGTGCAGTAAAATATTCAATTGTCATGTATTATTAATGACCTTTAAATTGTTTGGTGATCTGTCCCAGATAGAGCCATATCGTTTCCCTGAAGAAGTGCTGTACTGGACACAACAGGTCTTGAATACCGACAATATCAAGTGTCTGATTGAAGGAATCTCTAGATTGTTGAAAAAAGGAAAGGAAGGTTAATGTGTGAAGGAAAAATAGAACCATATTTAAAAAAACAATGTTAATTGTCAAATCATTGTAGTAATTGTGATTCATATTATTGAGTTATCAACTCCTGAGTAAAGAAGAATAGTTTAGATCACAGCAGTGTATTGTATAGAGCACATTTGTAATATCACAAAATAACCTTTTCTGCATTAGGTCACATCATTCAATTTAATTCATTGGCTATTACAACTTTTTTGAATTTCCAGGTCACAGAACTTGCACTGAGAATATTCATTCAGCAAATAACGTTACGCTTACTAAAATGTAAAATATATAAACATTTTTGGAAATGGATGTTATATTATTGTAAACAGCTGCTACAATATACCCCTGGGTTTCATGTAAATAATTGGCCGAACAAAAAACCGTAGCTTTTATGTTCACGAAATGAATCAATGAAGTGAAGATGTTGTGTATTCAGTAAATAGGATATGGAATACATCTATTCTAATGGATTATACACGGTGCAGTCGTAAATAGTGTATTGGAACTTTTCGTTAGCATTAGCTGCCATTAGCAAAATACTACCATTTGTGAACGTATTCAGCGAT